GGACTAGACTGGGTTGTCACCCAGACTGACAGTTTCCCCCCCAGCCACCTGTTTCCTCGCTGCGTCCCGCCATCCCTGGGAGCATGGAAGAGGAAGAGCTGGCATCTATTAAGCCCCTACTGTGTGCAGGAACGTGTTGGGAGGTTTGGCAGGGATGAGTCTGACCTAGCCGGTAACCTCTCAGGGTCAGGCCAGAGTACCTTGTCTCCCAGTACCTGGGAACGCCACCCTCAGAGGGTGGTTGGAGTATCAGGTGAGGTCACTGATTGGCAGCCTGGGTTCTGATGAGAAGTGTCCCTATATTATTATTATTTTTTTAAGATTTATTCATTTGAAAGAGTTACAGAGAGAGAGAGAGGTCTTCCATCCGCTGGTTCACTCCCCAATTGACCACAATGGTTGGAGCTGTGCTGATCCGAAGCCAGGAGCCAGGAGCTTCTTCCAGGTCTCCCACGTGGGTGCAGGGGCCCAAGGACGTGGGCCATCCTCCACTGCTTTCCCAGGCCACAGCAGAGAGCTGGATGGGAAAAGGAGCAGCCAGGACTAGAACCAGCGCCCATGTAGGATGCCGGCGCTTCAGGCCGGAGCGTTAACCGCCGATGTGTCCCTTTCTGACCTTCAGTCAGCAAACGTGGCTTTCCTGGATTATCCGGAATCAGTGAGGATGCCTTGGCGGCTCTCCACCCTGAGAGAAACAGGAAGTTGTTTCTGATTATGAACCAGTGCAGAATACTAGCCGTCACTTGGGTTGAAATGCCCATACCATAGCCAGTGCTGCGGCTCACTAGGCTAATCCTCCGCCTGTGGCACCAGCACCCCGGGTTCTAGTCCCGGTCAGGGCGCCAGATTCTGTCCCAGTTGCCCCTCTTCCAGTCCGGCTCTCTGCTGTGGCCCGGGAGTGCAGTGGAGGATGGCCCAAGTGCTTGGGCCCTGCACCCCATGGGAGACCAGGAGAAGCACCTGGCTCCTGCCTTCGGATCAGCGCTGTGCACCAGCCACAGCGCGCTGGCCGCAGCGGCCAATGGGGAGTGAACCAACGGCAAAGGAAGACCTTTGTCTCTATCTCTCACTGTCCACTCTGCCTGTCAAAAAAAAAAGAAAAGAAAAAGAAAAAGAAAAAGAAAATGCCCATACCAGCGAACCTGTGCCTTCTCTCCTCCAATCCAGCTGCATGTCTGTCACGACTAAACAGCCTCCCTCCCATGTTTTAAAAATATTTATATCTTTTTTTTAAAGATTTATTTATTTATTTGAAAGTGAGAGTTACACAGAGAGAGGCAGAGAGAGAGAGAGAGAGAGAGAGGTCGTCCATCCAATGGTTCACTCCCCAGTTGGCTGCAACGGCTGGAGCTGCGCCGATCCGGAGCCAGGAGCTTCTTCCAGGTCTCCTACGTGGGTGCAGGGTCCCAAGCACTTGGGCCATCTTCTACTGCTTTCCCAGGCCATAGCAGAGAGCTGGATGTGAAGTGGAGTAGCTGGGTCTCGAACTGGTGCCCACATGGGATGCCGGTGCTTCAGGCCAGTGAGTTAACCCACTGTGCCACAGCGCCAGCCCCTATATCTGTTTTCACTTTGTTATTTGAGAGGCAGAGAGAACTCACATCTGCTGGTTCATCCCCAGATACCCAAGAGGAAGGAATTCAATCCAGGTCTCCCCCCTGGGCGTCAGAGATCCAATTATTACATCCATCACCTGCTGCCTCCCCGGGTGTACACAGGCAGGAAGCTGGCGTCGGAAACAGAGCTGAAACTGACCCCAGACACCGGCAGGCATCCCCGGTGGCATCTTAACCACGGCACCTGCCCTCTTCCGGTGTTTTGTTTTATTTAAGTTCAGGTGGCTTAATTTGCATAGGACAGCTGATTTGCATCTTGACTCTTATTCTGATAAAAAACCATTGGTTCAGTCTTGTGCAAAAGGTTCCTCTTTTTCCAGGGGGCAGTTTCTTGCCTAAAAATTTTTTTTTTAGTTTATTTTAGAGAAGAGAAAGCAAGCCATCAGCTATAAGGGTCGAACTAGCAGGAAGTTAACCAGGAGCTAGAACAGGGATTGAGCAGGACCCTCCAGTGTGGACGCAGGTGTCGTAACCGTTAGACTAACTGTGCACTCCTAGCAGTCTCTTATTTAAGTGAGGGCCACCCTAAATAAAGGTTATTTGGAAAAAAAAAAAAAAGGTCATTTGGGCCGGTGCTGTGGCACAACAGAGTAAAGCCACCGCCTGTGACGCCAGCATCCCACAAGGACACCAGTTCGGTCCTGGCCGCTCCATTCCTAATACAGTTCCCTGCTAGTGCACCTGGGAAAGCAGCAGAACATGGCCCAAGTCCTTGGGCCCCTGCCCCCATGTGGGAGACCCAGATGGTGTTCCAGGCTCCTGGCTTTCGCCTGGTCCAGCCGCAGCCATTGGAGTCATTTGGGGAGTGAACCAGCGGTTCACTCTCTGTCTCTCGCAAACTCTCTTTTTCAAATAAAATAAATCTTTAACAACCACAGAAAAAGGTCATTTAATGTCAATGACAAATGTGTCAGATGCCAATGACACAGTGTATCTAGGGGCCATGGTGTGGCTCAGAACAAAATATCGACTGGTGCAGGTCAGGATTTCTGCCAACTCAGGATAAGCTGTGGGCGGTCAGCCGACCGGTGACCTTTGTCCGAAGCATGCCCATTGTTCCCCCTGGGGGCTCGGACGTCCAAATTGCTCTGGCTGGGGCACAGGTGCACCTGTGCTGGGCTCCTTGTCTCGCCTCCCCCGGCTGCCAGACTCGGGGCAGTCCTCTCCCAGGGTCACTTGTCCTCGGCCTGGCCCTCACCCCAGCAGGCAACACGGCCCTCCTGTCCTCATGCTAAGAGGAAGGGCTTGGTGTGTGCCACAGCATCGCAACAATGTTTGCTAAATTGCAGCCCTGGCGGAGTGCAGTCTTTCTCTCTCCATCTAGGTCTCCCACGTGGGTGGTGGGGACCCACGTACTGGAGCCATCACCCTCTGTTTCCCAGGGTGCACGGTAGCAGGAAGTGGAGGCAGGACTCGCACCCAGGCCCTAGATAGGGGATGTGTGAGAGTCCCAAGCAGGGACCTAGCCACAGCCCCAGACACCTGCCCCTCCTTGGCTTCAGACTCTAATGAGAATAGCCCTGAAGTCCTGCCTGTCGCTCCCCCTCTTCATGGAGGAACGACACAGGACCCTGCGCTGTTCCTTCGTCTGCTCGGCCCTCCCCGGGTTTGCTGCTGGTTCTTCCCGGGTTGGCTACTATCCCTTCCACCTCTGTGGAAGGGCAGCCCCCCCTGGCCACATTCCCCACTTCCGCAGGGGAGCGGCACACCGCCGGCCGGCTCTCTCGGGGGCTGCACAGGTGTTCCCCTTAGATGTTCCCCTTAGATGTTCCTGGTGCATGCCGTCTCTCTCCTCCTTTATAGTCCTCCTCCGCCAATCCTAACTCGGCTGCCCACACGCCGAGTACGCTGCTCTCCTCCAATCAGGAGCAGGTCCTGCTGTTTATTGGCTGAAGTGGAGGCAGCTGTGTAGAAGCTGTTTTCTTCTCTCCCAGCACCATATTGTGGGAGAGCAGATGCACAGAATAAGTCTTAATTCCAGTAACTCAGTCTAGTCCGGGTTGCTCCCCACACCTGCCCATGGCCTGTCATTGTGAGGCCAGCCAGGGTGAACAGCTGACCCCCTTGGAGGTGTCCAGAGGTGCTGGGGGGAGGGGCTGCCGAGGGTGTGGCTCACGTGGCCTGCTCTCCCCGCCCCCAGGCTTAGATTCGGACCTGAGTGGACGACTGCATGGCCAGCATCTGGCCCGGGAGCTGGTCCTGCGCACGGTGAAGGGCTACCTGGAAGTGCCCCGGCCCGACAAGGCCCTGGCGCTGTCCTTCCACGGCTGGTCGGGCACTGGCAAGAACTTCGTGGCCCGGATGCTGGCTGAGAACCTGTATCGAGACGGGCAGAGGAGCGCCTGTGTCAGGATGCTCATCGCCACGATCCACTTCCCGCACCCCAAGTACGTGGACCTGTACAAGGTGAGGCCCGCCGAGGCCGGGAGAGGGCCCCCGAGAGCAGCCGTTCCTTGCAGGGCTGGGGGGAGGCTCCCCCTGGAGCAGGGACGCCTGCTCCATGCACTCACCCAGGAGCCCTGGGTGTCTCAGGGAAAGACTGATTTGTCCCACACCACTCCTGAGCTCTGTCTTTTTTTTTTTTTTTTTTTTTAAGATTTATTTATTTATTTGAGATAGAGAGTTACAGAGAGAGGGTGAGACAGAGAGGTCTTCCATCCATTGGTTCACTTCCCAAATGGCCGCATTTGGAGCTGGGCCAATCCGAAGCCAGGAGCCAGGAGCTTCTTCCAGGTCTCTCCATGAGGGTGCAGGGACCCAAGCACTTGGGCCATCCTCCACTGCCTTCCCAGGCCACAGCAGAGAGCTGGATCGGAATAGGAGCAGCCAGGACTGGAACCGGCACCACAGGTGGAGGATGAACCTACTATGCCACAGCACTGCCTGTCCTTTTTTTTTTTTTTTTTTTTTGAGATTTATTTATTTGTTTGAAAGGCAGAGATAGAGATCTTCCATCTGCTGGTTCACTCCCCAGATGGAAGCCAGGAGCCTGGAACTCCAGCTGGGTCTCCCATGTGGGTAGCAGGAGCCACGCACTGGGGCCGTCATCCGCTGCCTTCCCAGGTGCATCAGCAGGGAGCTCCGACAGTAGAGCAGTGGGGACTACAGCCAGCACTCTGCTGTGGGATGCCGGTGTTGCGGCCCCAGGGACAAGTCCTTAAAGTCGGCCAGATGATCAGCCCCTCCTCCCGACTTGGCCAAGGTGACGGCACCTGTCTTTGACTTTCCGCCTGGTACTTGAAGTGTGCCAGCCGGAAGGATTGTGTAGCCCCTGAGGACACAGACTGCCGGGGTCACTTGGCAGATTCCCTGCGGCCTTGGAGGGCGAGAGCTCGGTGACCTGAGCCCCAGCTGTCCTACCAGCAAGTGGCTGCTCAGGTGGGCCTTCCCCGGAAGAACTGTGGGCTTCAACTGTGGGGGCACTGCTGGGATGCCAGCCTCCCCCGCCTGGTATAGCCCGAATCCTGCAGGCTGCGGGTGGCACCTGCTTAGGGCCAGAGGAGAGCAGACCGGGAGCTGGCCCTCCCCTCCCTGGCCGCGCTGACAGCCGGGCTGGGGGAGACCAAGGGCGCGGGAGAATCGCCTGGGAAGCTTGCTATCGCCCCGCCCCCGCGTGGAGCGCACGCCCGCCGGCCCGCGGAGTCTCTTGCGCATGCTCCCGGAAACCTGGGCGGGCGGGAAGGTGCGCCCAGGCCCCCAGGAGCTCCTGGCATCCCGTGCAGGAGCAGCTGATGGCCCAGATCCGGGAGACTCAGCAGCGCTGCCGCCAGACCCTGTTCATCTTCGACGAGGCCGAGAAGCTGCACCCCGAGCTGCTGGAGCTCCTGGGGCCGCACCTGGAGCGCCGCGCGCCCGGGGACGCCCGCGCCGGGCCACCGAGGAGCATATTCGTTTTTCTCAGGTGAGCTCCGAGGGGCTGCGGGCGGGCGGTGGAGGGGCTCGCTTAGGGTCGCTGAGACCCCCAGGTACAGCGGAGCCTGCTCGGGGAGGGAGCACCACCGTGAGTGCCAGCGCAGCCGGTTCCTCCTGCAGCCTTGGGAGGCCTTGAAGCAAGTGGCCGGCCTTGACCTTGACCTCGAGTGAGCACCTGCTGCGCTGGGTCTGCCACACTGCCCCCGGGGACTTGGCTGGGCTTCCTGGGCTTCTGTTGCTCTGGCCACGGCTTTGGGGCATGTGAACTTGAACTTGTTCAGCGCCATCTCTAGTGGACGTTGCAAGTGTAGAGTGCCCTGCTCAGGGCAGTCAGAAGGCAGGTGTGGCCCTGGCGTGCACGGAGCAGGTGTGAACGGTGCTGGGCTGGGATTCCCGCGTGCTGATGGCAAATGTTTCCTGCTGTGTTTGCAGGTGCGCCCAGAACCACACTGTATGGGGGGGCACGGGGGTGTCCCAGAGTGGTCCCAAGGGAACAGAGCACTCCCTCCTGGCCTGACCGGAGTGCTCACCTTCCGTAGGTGAGGACAACAAAGCCTCGGGCTTCAGTCCTGTCCCCAGGGCCCGGGCCGCTGGCCACTGTCCAAGGCAGAGCCCCTTGGCAGCCAGTTCAGCGGAGGAGCCCAAATGCAGAAGTGGCCGAATGGAGGTGACCCCATGGCTCCCCCACCGCCGCCCTCCCATGTGGTGTTGATGGGTGGGAGTTTGGGGGCCCCTCTGAACCACTGCTCAGAGTGGGTGCAGCATGGGGACGGCAGCTCGGGGTGCCCCCACGTTTGCAGAGACCCCTTCTACTTCTGCACCTGTGCCGTCGTCTTCCCCTCGTGCCCCTTCCTCCCAGCTCTGCACCCCGCTGGCCTCTCCCACCTGCTGCTTCGCTTGGGAAGCCCACACCCTCGTCTGGGTCACAGCTGCCCAGCGTGACCTGGTGACCCTGCCGTCTCTGGGCAGATATTTGCCTTGGTAGTATTCAGGCTTTGTGGGCTGTCCCCACGCCAGCCCTGCCCCTCCCCCAGTGACCCAGCCTCGCTGGAATGTGCGGTCTCAGGTCTCAGGATGTGTAGGCAGGGCCTGGGACGGCCCTCCCCGGGCTGAGTCTGCTGGGCAGAGGCCGTGTCTGCTCCCCGGGAGCCTCTGAGCCCTCGAGGAGGAAGCCGTGTGACTGGGACAGGGACGTGGAAGACCATGTACAAACCTGTGGCCTCAGGGTCCAGGGACTCCGCTGTGGGCCTGGGCCAGGTCGCGTTGTCATAGTCCACTAGTCCACTCCAGGCCATGGACATCCAAGGCTACCAGTGCTCCCCTCCCCAGGCCCGGGGGCCCCAAAAGCGACTGCCCCCAGGCCCTGAGGGTCACAGGTATTCTGATGGGTTGGGGGAGACCGCTGAGTCTCTGGACTGGACTTCTACGCTGAGCTCCAATTCACTGCCCCTCTGTGGTGGGCTTTCTTTGTTAAAAAAATTTTATAGATTTATTTTATTTGAAAGAGTTACAGAAGGGGGCAGGGGTCTTCCATCCACTGGTTCACTCCCCAGGTGGTTCCCCAGCGGTTGTGGCTGGGCCAGGCCAAAACCAGGCGCTTCATTGAGGTGGCAGGGGTCCAAGCACTTGGGCCACGTGCTGCTGCCTTCTCACGCACATTAGCAGGGAGCTGGATCGGAAGTGGAGCAGCCAGGAATTGAACTGGCGCCCATATGGGATGCCAGTGCTGCAGGCTGCGGCTTCACCCACTATGCCACAGCACCAGCCCGGAGGATTTTTTTTTTTTAAGCTTTATTTATTTGAGAGGCAGAGTTAGAGAGAGAGAGAGAGAGAGTTAGAGAGAGAGTTAGAGAGAGAGA